GCACGAGAAAATAGTGCATATTGGACGTGAAGAAGGGAGCAAGTTGCACGTGGGAAAAAAAACGCGCCTGATTTAAATGTCACACCTGAATGCTCACATCCTTTTAATTATGTTTGAAATTATGAACATTGCTCAACATCATGAAAATTAAACCTTATTTTCAATAAGCAATCCTGAAAAATATTTGGGGGTGCTTAATTTTTTTCCAGGTGTATATATATAATTAATCCAAACTCTCTGAAGATGGTGAGCAACTAAGTGTTTTTGACATATCAGCATTATAATAGAATATTGATGTAATATTAATTTAACTTCAAATGATATTTGTAGATATGCTTACACAAAACTGGCATGTGGTGTCATGTAGGTGGCTATTTGAGTGTACATGTTTATGGCTCATTAAATGTTTCTGATGGTCATAGTTTTTTGTTGGTTTTAGAAGATTTGTTGCCTGTTAAGTACTATATAAATAAATGCTGGAAAATATTAGATGTAATGTTCTGATTGTAAATTGATCAAAATTTATTTAAATATGACAACCAATGAAAAATAGTTACTGTGCAGACCAAGTGAAAATGTCTACTGTCAGGCATAAAGGAAAACATTACAGGTTTTTGTTGGATACTTAAAAAAGAATGAATTAACCGAACAAAAAAAAAAAATAATTTTTCATATTTTGCACGACTACACTATAGATGACTTTGCTTCTGACAATGATTTAATTAATTGTATTTGATAAGAGGTTAATTGAAAGATTCTTTTATAAATAACAAATACATCATTTTATTGTTTGCCATGAAGTTGCAATATCCTTATTTGTAGTATTGTAATCTGAAGAGTTTATAACCAGATCTAATAAAAAACATCTCAGGTGTGAAAAAAAAGTGCGGCCAAAAAAGGATTGAGCATGCGACTTAGAGGAATGAAATCAAAATTGCTCAATCTTTTTTTGGCCACACCTAAGTTGATTTTGTTTAGAAAATATCATGACTTTTTGTCAATATACACCAACAAACCATAGTAAGTAAGTAAAAAAATGACACTTGGTAGTAGCCAACATTAGCTTTAAGATTGCAACCGATACTTTAGAGAACCAACCAGATTCTTTAAAATATATGGTGATAGTTTTCCTCTCCAGAACAGTGTTAATAACTCCCTTTATAGTAATGGAATTTAGATTAACAGCTTCTTGTCATCACCTCCATGCAATCGGTACAGCTGTATCAAGCATCATTATTTATGCTAATTGCTTAAGCTAATATCACGTGATGCTAAACGCTCTTTGATTTGGATAATTTCACAAAATTTAGTAAAGTTGTGCTGAAAAGTTGGTAATGAGTAATCAATAACAATGTTTACCTGTATGATTCTTTTGAAAACTTGAGCAAGAAACTGATAATCTATTTTGCTTGGCCTAACCAAAACTTATGTATCTGGACGTCCTTTTACCTTATAGTTTTGGTGCTCTAAATCAGTCTTCTTTAATCCGATTGACAAAAAACTAAAATTGGTCCACTTTTACTCTTAGATGAAGCTGTAGTAAAAATGTTAGACTGATAGCTCACATGATCTTTTTGCATATTCATGTGCAAAAACTTTCTGTATATTTGAGTGATTTTTGTAGTATAAATTTGCACTTGTGACTTAAGCATGTTTTTCTATCAAATAAAGTTTCTGTAATTTTGATGCAAAGAAAAAAAAAGGAAGAAACTTAATTAAAACTGGATATCTTATATCTCATGTATTTCTTAATGGATTGCTTGAAATTTGGTATGTGAAGTAAGAATCCAGTAGAGCACATCCACGGAAAATATGTCATAGTTTGTATTATTACAGTCTGAGATACAGAAGGTGGAAAATCACTAAACTATCACTCCTGTTAATAACACAGTGTGTTCTGCAGCAGGTCGTTTTGGCTGCATGACACACTACCATGTGTCTTGATTAACAGCTAAAGCAGTGTTTATTAGGTAGAATTATGAAATATAAAAATGTCATATGCTTTTTTTTAAAGAATGTGGTGACCCTGTTTTGCAAGTTCACTTTATAATAACATCTGCAGTAAATAATAGCGGCACCTAACAATTTCACAATGCAGATAAGGTTTCCATTTTAGGTTCTGTTTGCAGGGTAAATGTTGCATGCTCAAAGCTGGTTGTTATATATATTGTTTTCTGCACCTTTGAAAGTTAATTTTACAGTTTTATTATACAAATATTATATATAGATGTAATTATTTTATCTTAATTAATACTTATAGTATGTTAGATTTTGCTTTAATTTGATGTTTTGAGATTAGAATTTAGGTATCTCCCAGTAGGCCATACCTTTATTTTAATAGTTCAAGATTGTAGTGGATGTAATACATTGTATGAAAACTTTTATGTTTTGACTATATTTAAGTATTAGTTTTTACATTTAACAGTACTAAAAATCATGTTTTAAGTTGATGCTTCAGAAGTACAAATTGTTTTTTTTTTCAATAGGTAGAAGTTTCTTGTATGTTAATTGACAGTTCATTGTGCTTGTATAATTGGTCACTAGATGGAATGAGTGTAGACACAGCAGCCAGCCATAGAGGAGTAAACCCTAGTATTGGAGAAGTTTCTTTTGGCATGTCTACCAGCATTAGTATGGGAAGTGGGAGCCATCTGGAGAGGGTGGGATTAATACGGGATAGTGACAGGGAGAGTGCCAGTAACACTGCTCTTGCTGGTAGCATAGCCAGTGCCTCTTTAGCAGCAGCCCAGAAGTAAGTCATTTTCCTATAATAGTATTAGTACTTCTGAACAGTCATAGATAACAGTGTTTTCCGACTCATTTTTCAATAATAACAAAATTGATGAAAGAAATAACCTATTAACCCTATCTGGAATGCAGAGGACCTTTCAGGTGTGAAATACATACCTGTATGTCATATTTCAAAATTTAAGTAGAAGCAATTATTATAACTATTTAAACAATTTTTAATTTAAAAATAATTTATTTTTCCAACACACTTGTTGATTTTTTTTTGCTCTTCTCAAAGTATAGTTTTATATTTTCTAAGAATTGTCATCCATTGAGAATATAATTATCTATGTCTTGCTTCTCACATTGTTTTTGCTCTTCTGTTAATGGTGTTAGTACTACAGCTGTTTATTTCCACCCTTTTATGATGTCACAACATGTTTTCTGAATAATTATTAATGAAGTGCAGCTATGAAATTGGTTATACAGGACATTTAAATAGGCTTGGATAGAGCAGTAATTTATGGTAAAGTGACTAGCAGGCATGAACAAAGGAATCTAATGAGAAGCTTAGAAGACTTGGAAACAAACCAAAGATCTAGGAGATGTCTAGTTTTTTCAGATGCTCTTTTTCATTCCTAAAAATGACATTGTATACTAAATTATATCTGGTTGAAACCTACAAAAAATTGTTTCCCTGTCAAAACATCAGGTAAGCTTAGTTAGGCTTAACAAGTCTACTAAGTGATGGCAAAATATTCCAGTGTCACAAATCGTTATTTACTGAACACTGGTGACACCTCTTGTTCTAGAAAGGGTTAATAATACATTTTTGTATAGGGTGATTATATGTTGATGAGAAATGCTTAGCTGTAAACCTCATTGATGTATTTTCAAATATATACTGGCATTTTGCCTCAGAGTTGTATTTTTCATTTACTTCCTATTTCTACTTTTAATATTTACTGTTATACTATGCATTTATTTCCTACATTTGATATAGAAATCAATCACTGTGTATCTTTTTTCTCTTATTACTGTAAAACTCACTGTTGTTCACTATATGTACTTCATACCTAACTTTTGTACTGTGCCTTATGTCCTACCTCTAGAAGTCAAACTGGGGATTATACATTTGTTTGTTTAATGTGTCTTTTTTTCCCACCCCTTATATATCTGTGTGATTCTGATATAAAATGTATTATATTGTTCCACTTAGATTAGAAGTTCAAGCAGATATTTCCTCCAACAAACGACTTAGTTTAAGTAGTCACAGTGAAACAGCTTCAGCTACGTTAAGCCTTAGTGAACGATCTGCAAACTTCTCTCTTACTGATGATGCAAGTACAAAAGCTCTTGCAGGATCTCTTCTTGGTTACAGGTAAGTGTAGGAAAACAATTTCTCTGAATTTATGTTGTAGGAGTGCAGAACATGAATATCTTGTAATAAGGTATGAATTTTCAATAAATTAGGTGTTTATATTAAATTTACAATGCTGTTAACATGTACAATATTTTAATCAGTTTTTAATAAACTCACATTTTTACTGGTATGTGCAGTGTTTACTTTTTCAATTGAGCAGGCTCATGCAGTGTTTGTTTCATTTCTACATACTGCTTACATGTACAGTGTTTGAATTCAGTAGATGTATGCAATGTCTGTGTGGTATATTTTTACCATTAACATATTCTTTATTGGTAGATTTTAGAAATATGACCAGTTTTTAAATTTTTAAAGCTTATGTACTTTGCTTGGGGTCAATGTCTCCAAAACAAT